CACACCCACTCGAGCCAGCCTTGTGGTTTAATTTGCTTGATTTAATAAATTTCTGGCTAAGTTTGCGATCGATCCTCACTTCTTCAGCATCATTTTCGCCACGAAAAACCTTGTGTCGGCCCTGGAGAAGGTTGGAGATCCACAGGCCTCTCTATCCGAGGTAACGCACACTTTGCCCCTCCCTATCTCATCCGTTGTTTCAGAGTTCAGAACGCAAGTGTAAGCTACTGACCTTTGCCTAATTGTTTCTCAGCTGTAGAAGCACGTACGTGACGTGAGTGAGCTTTCACGGTGCTCACTGCAAGCTCAGTGGTGGTTGCATGACCAGTCAGTGGAGATTTGTGATGGAGCTCCTCTTTTCTTTCGTCTCAGCGAGAATACATTAGGCGCTTTTTATTTTGTTGTTGTGCCCATTCGGGGAGCATATCCGGTGGCCTATTTATAGGCTGTGTATCTTGGAGTCTGTAATCTTCTGGGTTCGAGAAAGAAAATATTTCGTTCTGCGCTTTAGTATTGACAGATTAAATAGAGCATAGGTGCACAAATATAAAGAAATACAAATGGGAAGGACATAAAAGAATGTAAGAAACAAAGAGGGATACAAGTGAGGAACCGATTGAGATAGAAAACTGGGGATACATTAGCTTTGTTTTTCGAGAAGAAGGATTGCCCCGGCCTCTGTATCAATTGAGGCACACAAACATTTTATTAAACAAAGTACGGGGAGTAGTTCAATACAAGTTCTCAAGCAAAGCTGAATAAAATGAAAAAAGCTGCCATAACCAGCGAAAATAGGACTAGATGGCTAGACACCTATCCTATTGTTGGACCGTCATCCAAATCGGTTGAAAGTATCCGTGGTACTGTATCTCAAGGTTGCACCCATAGGCCATATGCTCCCTGACTTCCGCACGGCTGAGTAACAACCACATACGGATCTATCCAGACGCCCGAAAAATGACCTCGTACATTAGCTAATAACGCCTTTTACGCTCGCTAGTCATGCTACCATTACAGAGTCAACTTATTATTCACATTTTTTTTCTTAAGTCGGAGCTTAGGACTCGATTAGTTAAACAAAATAGAAGAGATGTCCGGTTAATTTGTGGAAAAGCGGGTAAAAACTATCACAACACATCGATGTGGCATCCCGCCTCCACCCTGCCTTGCCTCGGGCAAGCTTCTACCCATGCCTCACCGTGGTGTCCTTGTCTCCGGCTCGGGGTCCGTTTAATCCAAACAGGGTCAAAATGAAAAGGCTCCCCCACCTGCACCCGTCAAGCCTCGAGCTCCCCCCGCCTTGGACGTTGTGGCGAGATGCATCGCCGCCAGCTCCAGCTTTGCTTCCGTCCTGGCCTTGCTAGCTAGCGTCCCCCTCGCCTCCACTCAGCATGGCGCCCCCATCTCGGCCTTGGGGCTTCGCTCCTTCCCATCAAAATTTGACTCACACAGTCTTCGCCAACAAATTCATTCGAGTAAATGACACTAGCGGTCAAGGAACTTGTGCGTTGGGTGCACTTTAGTCACACTACTTGCAAACCGAAAGAACTAGTAAGCAACTTGCGTTTCGGGTGCACATTGGTCAAAACTGACTGACCCCGTTAATTCTTTTTATAGCAAAGCCCCTAAACTTTTTATACGGGTTTTTCTTGCAAAAAACACCACCATAGATGCCCACAAGGTGTTCGATGAAATGAAAGAACATCTGCGTAGTTGTTCATGTGCTACACCGGCATTCTGACTTTGTCGTCCAGCTTCTACACCAACACCGGGGACGCAACACGTACGCACACACTGGAGCACGCACACACCACTCAGCAAGCAGTACATTCCACAAGCATGCACGCAGCACACATCACATCGGCGAGCTCTTTAGGCAGGCCTGCACGTCGCACGGCACCAGAGCGGACCAGCGGAGCCCCTGAGTAGGTTGACCCCGAGGACGTCCACACGTCCTTGCCGCTTATCCTGATGCTGATGACGAAGTGGGTGTCGTGCCTGTCGATGTAGGCGCCCTTGTTCGTGTATGTGAATTTGAGCGCCTTTCTGGTGCTGGCGAGCAGCAGCTTGGCATACTCCTAGTGGCGACGGCATTCTTCCCTGTGAGCGGCTGAGCGCACGGTGGCGACATGTTGTTGCCACCATATCGTGGTCGCTTCGTGATGCAGGGGAGGTGGCGGTGGCAGCTGGCAACCACAGCGTCGCTGGTGTAAGATAATGTGGAA